TGTGAATGGTCATCAGTCTGTCTTAGCCCTGTGACAGATTTGCAGTCTAACCAGTGTGTACCCTACCTGTTGGGCCGCTGGCAGGGCTGGGATAGGCTCCAGGCCCCCTCCCACCCTGAACTGGACAAACAGAAGAGAATGGACGGATAAATTTACAGCTGAAGCTTATGAATTGAGGTTTAAATGTTAAGATCTGACAAGTTTTGTGACCTGTTGACTACATAATCTAAGGTGATTCAAATATGTAATTTTTATTGATAAAATGATCTACTTATCCATCAGAATGAGCAGGCAATCCAGCACTACATGTTTTTGAAACTGTTAACTGGAAATGTTGTTGTAATTTTTGTCATGGATCAATAAAAGCTGGACACAGTTGTGACTAATCGGACATTACAAGACAGGAAGCAAAACAGAATACACTGACACTGAACACCAGGGCTGGACTGAGACATAAAATCGGTCCGGGCATTTTGACTAGAGACCGGCCCCACCAGGTATTATAGGAAAAGCCATAAAGCCTTTATAATAAACTTAAACTATACCATCCTGCGTATTCTGGTATTCCTATCAGTACTTAGCAAAAATATAAAACAACCTAATCAATAATTACATATAACTAAAAAAGAAAAAAAAAAAGTAAACCACTCCCCCACCCTCCGCCTCAAGATGGTTAATTGACATAGCCGACTTTAATTTAATTCATGTATAAAACAAATTCACAGAAATCTATTATTTTTCTCCAGTAATTAAATAGATTCAACATCTTTCTAAAACAGAATTGCAGACTGCACAGATGGTACCTTCCCAGAGGAAAAAGTTCTATAACTTACTAGGGTACATACTAGACTTAATATTTACTACATACAATAATGGATTTCTATACATTTTACATCAGATGAAAACTTTCGTTGTAAGATTCAGATAATTACTTATTAAAAGCTAGACATTTGAAATGAGAATAAGAAAAAAAAGTATTTCTTTCCAGCAAACATCAGCTGATACTAGAAAGTAATATTAAATCAATTCTAACAACAGCTGATCAAGCTTAAACGTGCTGCTGTTGTTTAGCGCGACATCCGCTGGTTTCCTCTTTCTGGCGCAGAGAGAAAAGCATCAGCTGATCATTGATCAGTTTCATGATTGAATTAGCAACTTTATAGCTGAAGAGAAACGGGACAAATTGTATTCCTTTTCACCTCAACTTTAAAGTTCGACCTCCTCGGCTGCAATTGGTCCAGCCCAGAGTCGATCATGACCAACTGGCACATCCACCACAATTCATTTATACCGTTAAAAATAAATAAATAAATAAAACCCCATCGTTCCATAAAAACGAAAACTCACAAGCGGCCCACCGGGTATGCCCGATGGCCAGTCCAGCTGTGCTGAACACAGACTGCCAAAGTAAAATAGGAAACTAACACACAGACGTAGAGTTGACAAGGGGCACAGCAAACCTGGAACACAGAGACAGAAACAGAAGGACTCTAAATAACACTGAAACCAAAGACTAGAGATTCTAAATAAGAAAAAAAAGCAAAGACTATTAATAATAAACAACACAAAACGATGGGTCACCGATGCAGGACCATGACAGAAATATGGAAACTGTAAACAAAAAAGAACAAACATATAGATGAAAATAATGCAGCTAAGAATAAACAAAGAAGATTAGACAAATACATGCTTCAACAACCACTGACTTATTGCAATGCTCTTACTCTGTGGAAACTATATGAAAAAAAATCAAATTTTAAACAAAGAAAGAAAAACTACTTTAAACTTCAACCTACATATTATAAATTTTGAAAAGCAACACAAAGTTTTAATGTATATTTGATTATTTGTGTTTCCTTGCTTCTCTCTGATGTCTCTATTTGATGTGTTAATGAAGGCTGCATTCAATAAAGTTCCTCATCCTGCTCCAACAGAGAAGACTCTGTTGAATGGATTTGAATATGCAAACAAGAAGTCTAAGCTGGCCAAACACCAGGCAATATAATAACAATATTTACATATTTCCATCATCAATAATAATTTAAAATTATTGTAAAATATTTCTTTCCAGGAATTCTTTTGAGAATATACAGAAAAATAAAAATGTGTGGACGGTTAAATTATGGCTGACAGCTGCTGCTGGAAATTTTTAAGAGGTAAATATTTTTAATCCAATAATATCATAGTGGTCACCTTTTTCTACTCAGAAGAGGCACCATTTACACAAATGTTCAGTCAGTCCATAGAAAAACATGTCAGTGTGGTTTAAGTCAGAAACTCTGATGAGTGCACAGAGACACTCATGTGTCTCTGTGTGCACGTCTTCAGGTATTCCTGTCAGTTCACCGTGCTTAAGGGTTTTTCATGTTTTAGTTTTAGATCACCCAGTTTAGGTTATTGTTTAGTTTCGCCCATGCCCTTCATTTGTATTTATTTTACCAGCCTTAGTAAACTGCTCGTTTTCTGTTACTCCACGCACGTTTCACTTTCTGTTTTGGTCTGCATTTGAGTCCTTTTTTGCTACACATACAGTCTG